GTCCAGCCAAGCGATTCGCATCGCCTATGGCTTGCCGCCACCACCCCTCTCCACTGCTTCCAGCTGCGTGTCAGCCTCGTCATCCTCAGGTGTAGTGCACGTGCTGGTCCACATTGGCCATCTTTCGTGCCAGTCCTGACAGGACATCCCCCGAGTCGTGGAGGTAGCGTTGCACCGCCGAGGACGTCCATCTCCCTGTCCTCTTCACCACCTCGATCTCGCCCGTCGCCTGGTAGAGCGCCGAGGCCCCGCCGATCCGGAGCGAGTGGGACTGGAACCGCTCAGCAGGTAGGCCGAGGGCACGAGCGGCCCGCTGCAGCAGGTTCTGCACCTCCAGGCGCTTGATGACCGGGCCTGATGCCCATCGAAACAGCGGCAAATGGCTCTCCGGCCCTCGCCCAAACCGCCTTGGTGCCACCTCCCGAAGACGATGTAGAGCCGTGACCACGCAAACGAACTCAACCTCCGTCTTCAGCATCGTCTTGCAAGTCCCGAAGGCCTCTTGATCCGCTTTGGTCTTGCGAAACTGTAGGGTCACCTCCTGGGGATCGCTCTCATCTGCTAGGCCCCGGGTCGTAAGGGAGACGTCCTGGCCTCTGACGATCATCTCCTGATCAACCCCACTCGAATCCGAGAACTCTCTGGCTCGGAGCATAAAGAACCAGGCAGTGACCACCGCGGCATGAATCATCCTACAGTCGACCTTCAGCTCCCCCATCGATTCCGCACCCGAAGCCATCTGCTTGCCCAGCCACTTGATCATCTGCACGGTGACGCCCAGCCGTCGCGGCCTCTTCACCGAGTTCTTCTCCAGCGAGTTGAGGACGATCCATAGCCGATGCATCTTGACGGTCGTATCTCCGTGGCCCGCTCTCTTGTGTGCGTCCTTGATGGCGAAGACCGCCTGCTTCATGGTGGCGACCGACGTCCCTAGCCAGCCCAGGTAGCCCAGGTAGCCGAGGACCTTGTTCTCGTTGTTGATCGGGTCGCCATTGTGGTCGAGGTACGGGGTCAGCCACCCTTGGCGTCGGCTCCAGTCACACCACTTGCCCCATGCAGTGGCATAGGCCTTCTGTGTGCTCGCGGCCTTGTCGCCCACCAGATGCGCTTCGAGCCATTCCTCCACTTGCGCCTGGACCTCCATGTCGGGGTTGAAGTCCGGGTTGAGGTCAATGAACTTGGCCCCAGTCTCCTCGACCGGTTTCACCTCCTTCTTCCGGCGACCTCCACACCTTCTGTCTTCGCTGCCCCCGAAACCTTCATCGCCACCATCGATGGCCTCGAG